ATAGTATGTCGTCCAAAACCATGAAAAAACATCATAGTATAGTATGTCATATAAAACCATGAAATAAAAGTCATAGTATAGTATGTCGTCCAAAATCATGAAAAAAGTCATAGCATAGTATGTCATATAAAACCATGAAAAAAAGTCATAGTATAGCACGTCGTCCAAAACCATGAAAAAACAGTCATAGTATAGTATCTCATATAAAACCATGGAATAAAAGTCATAGTATAGCATGTCGTCCAAAATCATGACAAAAAGTCATAGTATAGTACGTCGTCCAAAACCATGTAAAAAAGTCATAGTATAGTATGTCGTCCAAAATCATGAAAAAAAAGTCATAGTACAGTATGTCGTCCAAAACCATAAAAAAAATCATAGTATAGTATGTCATATAAAACCATGAAATGAAAATCGTAGTATAGTATGTCCTCCAAAATCATGAAAAAAAGTCATAGCATAGTATGTCATTTAAAACCATGAAATAAAAGTCACAGCATAGTATGTCCTCCAAAATCATGAAAAAAGTCATAGTATAGTATGTCGTCCAAAACCATGAAAAAACATCATAGTATAGTATGTCATATAAAACCATGAAATAAAAGTCATAGCATAGTATGTCGTCCATAATTATGAAAACAAGTCATAGTATAGTATGTCGTCCAAAACCATGAAAAAAAAGTCATAGTATAGTATGTCGTCCAAAATCATGAAAAAAGTTATAGTATAGCATGTCGTCCAAAATCATGAAAAAACATCATAGTATTGTATGTCATATAAAACCATGAAATAAAAGTCATAGTATAGTATGTCGTCCAAAACCATGAAAAAAAAGTCATAGTATAGTATGTCGTCCAAAATCATGAAAAAAGTTATAGTATAGCATGTCGTCCAAAATCATGAAAAAACATCATAGTATTGTATGTCATATAAAACCATGAAATAAAAGTCATAGTATAGTATGTCGTCCAAAACCATGAAAAAAAAGTCATAGTATAGTATGTCGTCCAAAATCATGAAAAAAGTTATAGTATAGCATGTCGTCCAAAATCATGAAAAAACATCATAGTATTGTATGTCATATAAAACCATGAAATAAAAGTCATAGTATAGTATGTCGTCCAAAACCATGAAAAAAAAGTCATAGTATAGTATGTCGTCCAAAATCATGAAAAAAGTTATAGTATAGCATGTCGTCCAAAATCATGAAAAAACATCATAGTATTGTATGTCATATAAAACCATGAAATAAAAGTCATAGTATAGTATGTCGTCCAAAACCATGAAAAAAAAGTCATAGTATAGTATGTCGTCCAAAATCATGAAAAAAGTTATAGTATAGCATGTCGTCCAAAATCATGAAAAAACATCATAGTATTGTATGTCATATAAAACCATGAAATAAAAGTCATAGTATAGTATGTCGTCCAAAACCATGAAAAAAAAGTCATAGTATAGTATGTCGTCCAAAATCATGAAAAAAGTTATAGTATAGCATGTCGTCCAAAATCATGAAAAAACATCATAGTATTGTATGTCATATAAAACCATGAAATAAAAGTCATAGTATAGTATGTCGTCCAAAACCATGAAAAAAAAGTCATAGTATAGTATGTCGTCCAAAATCATGAAAAAAGTTATAGTATAGCATGTCGTCCAAAATCATGAAAAAACATCATAGTATTGTATGTCATATAAAACCATGAAATAAAAGTCATAGTATAGTATGTCGTCCAAAACCATGAAAAAAAAGTCATAGTATAGTATGTCGTCCAAAATCATGAAAAAAGTTATAGTATAGCATGTCGTCCAAAATCATGAAAAAACATCATAGTATTGTATGTCATATAAAACCATGAAATAAAAGTCATAGTATAGTATGTCGTCCAAAACCATGAAAAAAAAGTCATAGTATAGTATGTCGTCCAAAATCATGAAAAAAGTTATAGTATAGCATGTCGTCCAAAATCATGAAAAAACATCATAGTATTGTATGTCATATAAAACCATGAAATAAAAGTCATAGTATAGTATGTCGTCCAAAACCATGAAAAAAAAGTCATAGTATAGTATGTCGTCCAAAATCATGAAAAAAGTTATAGTATAGCATGTCGTCCAAAATCATGAAAAAACATCATAGTATTGTATGTCATATAAAACCATGAAATAAAAGTCATAGTATAGTATGTCGTCCAAAACCATGAAAAAAAAGTCATAGTATAGTATGTCGTCCAAAATCATGAAAAAAGTTATAGTATAGCATGTCGTCCAAAATCATGAAAAAACATCATAGTATTGTATGTCATATAAAACCATGAAATAAAAGTCATAGTATAGTATGTCGTCCAAAACCATGAAAAAAAAGTCATAGTATAGTATGTCGTCCAAAATCATGAAAAAAGTTATAGTATAGCATGTCGTCCAAAATCATGAAAAAACATCATAGTATTGTATGTCATATAAAACCATGAAATAAAAGTCATAGTATAGTATGTCGTCCAAAACCATGAAAAAAAAGTCATAGTATAGTATGTCGTCCAAAATCATGAAAAAAGTTATAGTATAGCATGTCGTCCAAAATCATGAAAAAACATCATAGTATTGTATGTCATATAAAACCATGAAATAAAAGTCATAGTATAGTATGTCGTCCAAAACCATGAAAAAAAAGTCATAGTATAGTATGTCGTCCAAAATCATGAAAAAAGTTATAGTATAGCATGTCGTCCAAAATCATGAAAAAACATCATAGTATTGTATGTCATATAAAACCATGAAATAAAAGTCATAGTATAGTATGTCGTCCAAAACCATGAAAAAAAAGTCATAGTATAGTATGTCGTCCAAAATCATGAAAAAAGTTATAGTATAGCATGTCGTCCAAAATCATGAAAAAACATCATAGTATTGTATGTCATATAAAACCATGAAATAAAAGTCATAGTATAGTATGTCGTCCAAAACCATGAAAAAAAAGTCATAGTATAGTATGTCGTCCAAAATCATGAAAAAAGTTATAGTATAGCATGTCGTCCAAAATCATGAAAAAACATCATAGTATTGTATGTCATATAAAACCATGAAATAAAAGTCATAGTATAGTATGTCGTCCAAAACCATGAAAAAAAAGTCATAGTATAGTATGTCGTCCAAAATCATGAAAAAAGTTATAGTATAGCATGTCGTCCAAAATCATGAAAAAACATCATAGTATTGTATGTCATATAAAACCATGAAATAAAAGTCATAGTATAGTATGTCGTCCAAAACCATGAAAAAAAAGTCATAGTATAGTATGTCGTCCAAAATCATGAAAAAAGTTATAGTATAGCATGTCGTCCAAAATCATGAAAAAACATCATAGTATTGTATGTCATATAAAACCATGAAATAAAAGTCATAGTATAGTATGTCGTCCAAAACCATGAAAAAAAAGTCATAGTATAGTATGTCGTCCAAAATCATGAAAAAAGTTATAGTATAGCATGTCGTCCAAAATCATGAAAAAACATCATAGTATTGTATGTCATATAAAACCATGAAATAAAAGTCATAGTATAGTATGTCGTCCAAAACCATGAAAAAAAAGTCATAGTATAGTATGTCGTCCAAAATCATGAAAAAAGTTATAGTATAGCATGTCGTCCAAAATCATGAAAAAACATCATAGTATTGTATGTCATATAAAACCATGAAATAAAAGTCATAGTATAGTATGTCGTCCAAAACCATGAAAAAAAAGTCATAGTATAGTATGTCGTCCAAAATCATGAAAAAAGTTATAGTATAGCATGTCGTCCAAAATCATGAAAAAACATCATAGTATTGTATGTCATATAAAACCATGAAATAAAAGTCATAGTATAGTATGTCGTCCAAAACCATGAAAAAAAAGTCATAGTATAGTATGTCGTCCAAAATCATGAAAAAAGTTATAGTATAGCATGTCGTCCAAAATCATGAAAAAACATCATAGTATTGTATGTCATATAAAACCATGAAATAAAAGTCATAGTATAGTATGTCGTCCAAAACCATGAAAAAAAAGTCATAGTATAGTATGTCGTCCAAAATCATGAAAAAAGTTATAGTATAGCATGTCGTCCAAAATCATGAAAAAACATCATAGTATTGTATGTCATATAAAACCATGAAATAAAAGTCATAGTATAGTATGTCGTCCAAAACCATGAAAAAAAGTCATAGTATGTCGTCCAAAACCATGAAAAAAAAGTCATAGTATAGCATGTCAAAATAATTTCATGAAAAGTATTAGTAGCATAGTATTTCGGAAAGTTTCATGAAAAAAGTCATAGTACAGTGAGTCAAACATTTTTCATGAATTAGTCATAGTATAGTTTGTCTGAAAATTTCATGGAAAAAGTCATAGTATAATATGTTGGAAAATGTCATGAAAATAGTCCTAGTATAGTATGTCATAACAATTTCACAAAAAAAGGTCACTGGATACTATGCATTAAAAAAAAAAAAAAAATGAAATAAGTCATGGTATACTCTGTCAGAAAATCTTAACGAAAAAGTCATAGTTTAGTGTGCTCCAACAATTTCACAAAAAAGACAGTATAGTGTAGTAAAAATAATAGTATCGTATGTCTTGAAAAAAATGTAAGGAAAAAAGCTGTAATAAAAAATTTCATGAAAGAAGTCATTGTATAGTGTGTCATAAAATATATTTTTTTCATAAAGTAACGGTATAGTAGTCTATTAAGTTTACTGAAGAAAGTCACAGAATAGTATAGAATAAAAAATTGTATTAAAAAAGTAATGGTAAAGGATACTGTATGTACAGTAGTATAATTTGGATGAACTGATCCAGATTCATTAGCCCTGACGCAGCCCTTTGATAAAGTCGGTAACAACCAAAATGCTTCCCTCTCTGTGTCTCAAACTTAAATTGGTCCTCACAAAGACACAAGAACATAAGCAAACATACACATTTAAAACATATTTGTTGGAGGGATCCTGAGATCTAAGAACTTAATTGCCAACGTCTGCGTCACTTTAACTGTTGTGAATGTTACTATGAAGAACTTGAACGTGATCTGCACCTTCTTTATAGGTCAATGATATTATTGAGAAGTCTTTAAATGTTAGCAAATCAACAGAATCTCTTGATACCATTGATGTAAGTCTTGCACCAGACAGTTCTGAATGTGTTTGTGTCTTTATACTGTAGTGCTTGTTCTGCTTTGTGATTCAAAGCAATGTGATGTTTGACTTTGTATGTATGATTGACACATTGTTTCACTAAATAAACTTACTTTACTGGGATCTTTTGTCTGACTTTTTTCCATTTAATCAAGACTTTTCCGTTCAAAATAAAATCCAAATCACTCATATCTGTAATCAATGACCAGCCCAGATTTCTTTGACTATGTAGGAGCAGAATGTGAATTAATTTATTTGTGTATGGTGTACTGGGTATCAGGTGTCACAGGGTAATTGGCGGTCATCATGATATATGAGGGGAACCTTTCTTTGTCTGGTCAGGTGTTCCACCCGGGAGGGTAAACAGTTTTTTTTTGACCGCTGAAGCAGCAAGGTGCAAATGGAGTTACACGTGTGGATGTATGAGCGTATCTGGAAACCTGTTCGAGTTTAATGGACACTGACGTTTTGTGACGGAAAATAAATGGACGAAGTGTTCAACTGGCAAGTTTGACTCCGACTTTGATTCATCAGACACGGTAACAATCAGCGCGTCAATTAGGTTATCCCGGTGCAGCACCTCAGTGGCTTAAAGCGTTGGCTTGGCCTCTACAATTCAGACTAAGTATGTATAGAAAGGTTATGAGGATCTTTACCTCTTGGTGGCGCTCTCCTGGAAGGGGTAGATGACCTGTCCGTTCTGGCAGAGCTCACAAATGAAACCTTTCTCTCGACACAAACTGCAGCTGAAAACATGGGAGCTGGCAAACTTGATTACCTTGGACAGAAAGGGAGCCAGTTTTCCATCAATCACCTGGAGGGTGAGGGCAGAGGAGGGATGGGGAAAGAGGGAGGGAGAAGAGAAGATAGGGCACGGTCAAGTACAATGAATACTCTTAAATGTAGCTCTTTGCTAAAAATCTTAATCAAGAAATCTTGTAAAAAGTCTTTAAAAGCAAACACCCTTCCGCTAATACAATTTACAAGGTAATTACAGGCAGTAAGACATGCATGATATGGTCAAAAAGTCCAGCCACTGGATCGCCATTGATGATATTCAGATAAATATTATTAAAGTTTGATATGTGGTGGAGGTCTGAAACTGTAGGACTCACAAATGGAGTTCCTGGAAGGCTTTGCGATCTGTTATTCTTATTTTTTTTTTCCAAGATTAAATCATTGAATAAACTTGTTTCAAAATGACTGCAAGAAAGAAGGAATCCTCTTTGGCTTGAAGGAAAGATTGGTGACAGGAAGAGAGGAAACCAAAGGAAGGAAGGAGGAAGACAGCAAATGAGGTGAACGCCTTTTAATGGCAATGCTTGGCAAGTTCCTTTAAGAAGTGAGGTGGGGGGTTTGGCGGCGGGGGGCTGGAGTTGTATTGTCATGAACAGACAGTGGATGACTCAGAGAAAAAACAGTTAGTGAAAAGAAAGTCTGTAGAATCATACAGAAATAAAAACTCAATAAATCTTTGTCGTATCATGTTAATAATACAGGCCATGTATGTGAGACAGAGGGAGAGACTGTATCAGAGACAAACAGAGTATAAAGTAAGAGACAGAGTGGTAGAGATACAATATACCAGAGAGATCTTGAGAGAGAGCGAGAGCCCGTATTCAGATACAAGTGGTTCCACCTGGCAGAGCTCCGGACCTCCCAATTATAACCTCCTTCATGCTGATTGTTACACAACGAGGACGAGAGGAGAAGAGGAGGACGTGAGATGGAAAGAGGAGGAAGAAACCACACACAGAGGACACATAGAGGTATACCGATCCTGTTTACAGTAAATCATACACCACAACCAAGTCTGTTAGACTTTACACTGTGAATAACAAACCTACACTGAAGGCTTTTACTATAATGACTCACGTAAGTACAATCTACGATATCAAATTATCAGTCTGAAACCAACATTACATGGATGTTTTAGACCGATGTCTCACTAAAAACTAGCCCCCTAGTCGATGGAACGTTAGTCGACTAGAAAAGTCATTATTTGGCAAGATTTCAATGGTAGCTTAGTTGCAGGGAAAAAAAGGTGAAACTCTACTAGGAGCTGCGCCTTGTCAAAATAAATCAAAACCTTCATTTGACAGGACAGACACAGGAAGTCAGGTTAATTTCCAGGGCTGGTACCTGCTGTTATTCCACAGGCTAGTTAATAACATGTCGGGCAGGAAATCCAAAGTGTGGGATCATTTTGAGAAGGTGAAGGACGAACCCAAGGTGATATGTAAACTCATCTTCATTGGTCGACTACTGAAACATGACATATCATCTGAAACATGGAAGTAGCTACATGCCCATTAGCCCACAGCGTCATTAACAGGCGGCTCGCTCAGTGTGTGACGTGCACTTGTAGATAAAATATAGGCCTATATTAATGAAGGTTCATTAGTACGGTTTTGTATTTCTCTGTAATGTAGGACAGTGTTAACAATGTTACTGATACTATTCTTTCTCACACCTTCAACTCAAACCATTGTGTTGCCCCGCCCAAAATATATCATTTAATATTTAAATTAATATCATAAACAGGCGGGCGACTAGTCGACTAATGGCCCTAAATGACGACTATTGGTTGACTAGGAAAATTCTTAGTCAGGGGCAGCCCTACTAAAAACAGAATATATTTGAGTCAGTCTCTGACATGACTGATTCAACTCAAACATGACAAAACAAGCAATGCATTATGCAAGATAAAATGTCCCAATAACGTAATAAAGTCCCTGCCCAGATCTAATTTGTTTCAGCGAAAAAAAAACATGGTGTTATGGCATAATTGACGGCTGTTTCTTTGTTGGAGAAACAATCGTTCAATCAGAGAGCTTCACATTGTTAATCCTCTGGGACTGTAACATGCAGGCGTAGGTTTCTTACAGTTTCTAAAGTTGTTCTGTGTATGTTTTGGTAAAGAAAGCCGCTGGTGTGAGATGAGATCTGGATTTTAATTTAAACCTGGTTTCTACAAATGTTTTGACATGTGGGAAATGCTTCCAACATGTCTCTTAGGCCTTACAGAGAACATGTTGTACAAGAAAACTCCACAGTGTACGTGTGTTTCTAATTAAATTTTTCTTCTGTATGTGAAAAACAACTCAGTCGCGTACAGACAGACAGACAGACAAACAGGTACTGAGAGTGAGAGACAGATATATGTGTCCCCACACTAAACCTAAGCAGCCCCGCTCAGTCCGGTCCAGCCCGGTCCACATGACGAATGGCTCTCCTGATGGAGGCTGACAGGCTCAGTAATTAAGGCCCTCTATAATTGGACTGGGCAGAATCAAACACTGGCAGCACAGCTCTGGTGGCTGACTGGTACTCTGGAGGGATGGAGGGAAAGAAGGAGGGCGGTGCAGAAAGATGGATGGATGGAGGGTGACAGAAGTAAATAGACGAGCGTAAAGAGGGATACTGCAATATATACAAACAACTTCATGAACGTGTATAAAGCCTGGATCGCTGATTTACCAGCGATATTGTTTCACTTATTCACAAATCTTTTCCTCCATCTTCTTAAAAATTCACATACATCTGCTGTTACCGCTTGCTATAAATATCCAATGACCTTTTTATTTATTGCACTGAAGTAGCGCTGGCCAGCAGGGTCACACTGGGACGATCCTTCAGACAGGAACTCCCAACTTCAACCCTTTTAATTTGTACGCTCGCTCACATCCAACAAGGACAACAATGAAGCCAAATATCGATGGCTGTCCTGAGTGTCTGGGCCGACCAGCAGCCAGCCCGCTGGCAGACCTCTCAGTGCTCTGAAGGGAGCTCAGGGTTGGACTTATTTCTCTCTCCAGAAGAGACAGAAATTGTTGATCGGTGGATTCTGTAAAATGATTAAAGAGTCTTTACGTGGGGGTCGGCACACCTTAAGGGCTGCCAGATCATCACCTCAGAACCCTCCAATTTAACAGGATGGGAAAGAAAAGAAGACTTAAGGCCTTTGCACACTGAGTCTGTTTTTTCCGTCCAAAATTGTTGCACATCTAAAGATATATCCAACCTCACACTGTGTCCGAAACTTTTGTCCATCATTTAAGTTTTCAGAACAGGCTCGATTTTCTGCATTTTTCGCATCCGTCAGCGGCCTTTAGAGACATTTGACTGAGAATCAGTGAAGAAAATGTGGCGGCGGGACAAGACAGGAGAACAGATCGCACAGAATCATTTCATAACTCACACAGCTCATGTCCAACAGGTCAGATAGTAATATTCAGGCGGATGATGATGATGATGAAGAGGAGGTGGGTGTGGACCTCACACAGACACAGAGCAAGCAGCAATGTGGAGACAGAGATGTGAGGACAGCTCTGCCCCTTCATGCAGCTGCGGTGCCAAATGCAAGACACGGGGATAGAGAGTGCTAACAGATAAATAACTCCAGTGGAGAGAAGCACAAGAGGAAATGTGTTGTTTCATTTTGCCACGCATTGCAAATTGTCGCAAAGCATAGTATAAAAAAATGCATCAGACTCAGTGTGCAAAGCTTCTGTGCATTACCATTTTATAAAGTAAGTAAAGAGGTAAAGCAAACGTTGAAGAAGAGTACACTTGCAAGATAAATGTGACACATTCTAATGTCACAATGGAGGGACAACTACGCAGGTTGATTTTAGCGCTGCTCATTGTGGACTATATTGCTGTCATTGTTCATTTTAGTCAAACCATACAGTTTGAAAACGAGGCGCGGCTCCAACTAGAAAACAATGTTTTGATGCATTGGATGTGCTGAATGTGCATATTAAGGCAGTACAGGAGGAGGTGCACATTAATAATCCTCCAGGACTGTAATATGCTCATGTTTAACCCAAACAATGTGTTATGTGACTGCAATTGGTTCAGATCCAGGTTGGAACACCTTCTCACCACAAATGAACCGCACCAGAGTTCGTTTGTAACCGGACTGAGACCACCTCTACAAGAAGGTCTCAGTCCGGTTGTTTTGGTGCACACCTGAGTGCGATTGCTGTGTTCACACCCTTAATTTGCCAACTGACCCTTTGCTAAGCCCCGCCCCTTTGTGATGGTCTGTCAAGCAATCAGAGCTAGCATGACACCCATTGTCACTGTAACTCCACTCCCTGAAGTAGTATAATATATAACATAATAATTTAATACAATGGAAAAAACATTGACTTTTTGTCGAGGGAACTTCTGGGTTGGCCGACAAAAAACATCCCTGCAGCACTCAATCCAGACTTACAGTAATTGGCATCATCAGATGTAGCTGCTAACCAAAGCAATGACACTGAACTACGTTGCAGATTTCACCTTTTAAAGAATGTGCAAAATAACAGCGGCAGCAGCATCTGTGCCAGGATTTAAATAACTTCATTCATAATATATATATTCACAGGATTATATTTACAAGCAGTCTACAGGACAAACCCTCCAGATATATTCACCTCCTTCACCCCCTTTTCCTCCAACCACAAAACACACACATGCACACACTTCACCTCCTCTCCCTCTATCCATCCTCTTAAACTCCTCCCCCTCCAGTTCAACCTCTTTTTCTGCTCCACGCAGAGTCTTTGTGTTCCAAAACCTCCTAATCCCCTAAAACTGCTGTTTAACAGCCGTTCTCCTGCCCTCCGCTCTCTCCCTTACTCTCTGTGGCTCACACACACACACACACACACACACACACACACACACACACACACACACACACAGACTACCGCAGCTCCATTGAGGAACTAGAAAGCCAGCTGGGATTACATGGCTGGAAAGACCAGCTCTGTTTGGATAACACCCTCTCCTAACTCTCCCTCACACACACACACACGCACAGAAGACTTGATGTATGCTGGTCATCAGCGTCTGCATGCTGGAGTCTGTCTTATCAGGGGGTTCCCAAAATTTTTGAGTAACCTACCAGATGAGTAAGAAAAACATTTTCTAGCTGTGCCTGTCTTATAGATTAAAACACAAATAAAAGCAGCTAAATGTATTTAATAACTTTGGAGTTTCCATAATAAAAGCCATGAAATTCCCTTTAAAACAATGAAACTATTCGTAAGATTAAATGAAGGTGCAGTGATGATGCACCAGTGTCTATGTTGTGTCTCAGCCTGTGGTGGTGTGGTGCTCTCAGTCGACTGGAATCATATGTAGTTGAGTCCAGGGGAAAACTGGAGCACACAGATTGTTATTCAGTTCTTCAGTTGTTGTAGTGTTTAGGTTGAGGGTTTATGTTGCACAAAAAAGTCAAATGACCCTACAACGATGACAACTACAAATTCCCAATATAGAGATTTTTACAAAGGCCTCCCTTTGACAGGTAGGCCCGACATGTGAATGTGCCCTCAAGCTATTAACTGTATTTAACTCAGTTGTGCTATGACATCACACAAAATCATGGCCTCCCTCTGAAACACAATTTTTTAAAGACATTTTTTTGTCTTTATTTAATGGGACAGATACAGTGTGAAAGGGGCAGAGAGAGGTGGGGCGCTGACATGCAGCAGGGCCGTGGGTTGGAATCAAGCTCGTGGCCATTGTGGCAAGAACACAGCCTTTGTACCTGGGGCGCCTACTCTACCAGGTGAGCTAGCAGACATTTCCTCTACTCACATGAAGCCAGGGACAACAGCAACATTTAACAAAGGTAACGTTACAAAATTTGGCTCCATTACAACTCACAAGGTTCACTGACAAAACAACTGTCTTATACTAAACACATTTTCCAAACAAATACAACATGCTAATGTTATTAGCACAAGCCTATGGCATTTTACATTGTATAAATTAGCCTAGCAACTAGCAGACTTTTCCTCTACTCATATGAAGCCAGGATAAATCACACACAAGACTTAAAATGCTATTTTTGTGGAGGCTTTATTGTCTTCACAATTTATTGTTTCTTATCTGTGAAATTAAAGTAAATGAAAGCTTCGTTTCCACTGAGGGAAATGGTTTCAGGCCATGTTTACACGAAAACAATACACTGAAAACAGAATCGTTTCTCATTTTTGTTTTGAAAAAAGTTGCGCGTTCAGACGACAACGTTTTGATAACAATTGCTGTGCACACCGATCTGCAAAAATGACCAAAAACGCTGCAGTATACATGCCAGGCCAGTAGTTGGTGCTGCGACGCTTACGCATCCTTATACAGAGCGGCAATGTATAAACAAACAAAATGGCAACCACACGAACATTTGTCTGGACGGATGATGAGGTGGAGTTGCTACAGTAAATCTACACTATGATGGGGAAGCGTTGATAAATTCAATAGGGTGAGCAGCACAAGCAGAGCTCGGGAGTCCACCATTGTTGTTGTGATGGTCGACTTTTTCGCGCATGTCTAGTGACTGGAACCCTAATATGCAATCTCCGTTTTCAGAGGAACTGCATATTGCAAGTTTAGATAACATCGGAGACGGTGCCATTTCCAAAACATTGTACTGTGGAACCTGTTTCAAAACGTTGCGTTTTCAGGCACACAAAACACCGCGTGTATTGTGTAAACGATCGGCCGATGCGCAACTAAAGTTTACTGTTTTCAGTTGAAATTGTTGTCATATAAACGGGATCTCAGCTTACAGAAATAGACAGGAGGTCTGCATCACCGCGACGTGTAGCTACATTTCTGGGGAGGTGCACGTCAGGCTATGGCGTAGACTATGGCATGGGCTCTATGTCAACGCAGAGCCTACGCCGCAGGTACGGTGTCAATTCATTGCAGACGTATAACTCCCACATAAGAATTCCTACAAAGTACACTTTTCACCCTCGTAATTGTATTCTGTAATTAGCTACAGTGTTTTTTAATAAGTCCTCGTACTATTCGTCGCCTAATTTCTGGCACATTGAAGATGATTTTTATGTTGCCCTATTTGACTTGATCCTACACCTCCACCATTGTGCATTTGACGGTAAAAGCTCCACCTCACCTCAAAGCCTTGAGCAGAAACTGCAAATCTTTCTGAGAACCTTTAACATTTACTTAAGAGGCCTCTGTGTGTCTGGACAAGTGTGAGTGGAGAGGCATGCCTGGCATAGAGAGAATGCCAGAGTATCACTGTGGGAAGCATGCTGCGCACACACACACATACACACACACACACACACACACACACTACTTTAGTCCTCACACAAAACCCCAGAAACAATCCTTAAAACCAGCAGAGGAAAAGGGCAGAGTGTCCTTAGACAAACACATATGTTTTCTCCGAATGAACCGGCTCCTAATGGGGGATATGGGTGGAGGCTATTTGTCGGGAGGTGAATAGACTTAGTATGGTCCAGGGTTTAGCCAGGGGAGTTTAGCCTTTACTGACCTCCGGGCTGGAACAAAAAAAGCCATGTTGATTAAGAGCGTCATTTTATTCAGGAGGTGAATCAAAAGAAACAAGCTTGTTAATATGGAAAACCAATTAAGAGGCAGAGTGCTTGAGAATCTCCACGAGAGGGGAGGAGGTTAGAGGGGGAGGGAAGGAGAGGAGGGAGCGGTGCAGACTCTACCTATTGTTAAAATTAGTACTGAATCACCGGTTTGGGATTTATGAGTAAATCACAGAGTTTAGCAGGGAAAGAGAGAGTGAAGGACACACACACACATATATAACACACATGTGTGCAGAGCGTGTGTGAGGCCAAGGGGATGTTGGAAAGAATGGAGGGATGTCACGCTTTGTTTTTCTGCCTGTTGATTCTGAATGTAACCAATTAGTGGAGCAGAGAGACACAGAGTGTGGGAGTGGAGGAGGAGGAGGAGGAGGAGGAGGAGGGGGTCCAATCTCTTTCACCGTGAGAGTCTGTGGCCGAGCTCTGAGTCAGAGGGAGGGAGGGTTGAAAGAAAAAAAAATGGGGCAGGGTACAACATAATGAACATAATGACAAACAAAAGAACTTTTCAGTCATTTGTGGTCGCTTTCCTCTGACCCCTCAAACTCAGTTCAACGACTAGATACTGAACCGCTTAAGGGCCAGGATGTGTTTCCTTTTTTAATGATCTCTGCTAAAAAAAAATTCTAAATTCTCCAAAAAGCAGATTTGGGCAGTGTAACTAGTATTAACGGCAGGCATGCTTGCAAATATGACAGTTTGCAACTTGATAAGAAAATCTGCTGATTAAATAACGCAGAGAGTTAAATGTTTCCACGACTCCAGATATGAAGTCTTTCCACCAAGACTATTGTTTGCTTGGATCAGGACACTTGAAAGAGCCAACCCTGTTCTACACGGGGCTATTAGAGGGTATTACCCTCTCTTATCACTGTTTTGACATGGACTCTAGCCAAAGAAACAAAGGAGAGGTCGTGCTTACTTAAAGGATAAGGCAGGCATTATTTTATGTTTTTCCTCTTGTTAACAAACCCAACTCCAACACTGTGTTAATTTGTCTCAGTATTTTCTTATTGGAGATGGATTTATACAGATTTATACTACTTTATATACTCTATACTGTGTCAGCTCTGTGCAAAGCCTACGCTGTTATGAGCATTTATACTTGGTGTGTCTGTGTCACTCTGCAGTTACACCTCCAAGACACTAGTTGGCGGCGTGGTTTCTGTGAAGTGCTGTTAAGTTTAGTTGATTCAAAACACACATTAAACACACATTAAACATGGCTTAATAGAGACAATGTCAAACACAAGAACACAAATCAGCTTCACTATAACTCGCAGCATTCACAGACAGACACTTGTCTTTAACTGGACACATTTTCCCCACAAATACAACATGCTAATGTTATTAGCACGAGCCTTTGGCACTTTACATTGTATAAATTAGCCTGATGGCTAGCAGACTTTTCCTTTCCTCATATGAGGCCAGGGACAACAGCAACACTTAACAAAGGTAACCTTACAAAATACTGCTCCATTACAACTCACAAGGTTCACTGACAAAACAACTGTCTTATACTAAACACGTTTTCCAAACAAATATAACATGCTAACGTTATTAGCACAAGCCTATGGCATTCTACATTGTATAAATTAGCCTAGCAACGAACGGAGGTTTCCTCTGCTCATATGAAGCCAGGATAAATCACACACACGAGTTAAAATGTTATTTAAAATGTCTTATGTCTTTTTGTCTTATCTGTGAAATTAAAGTAAATGAAAGCTTCATTTCCACTGAGGGAAATGATTTCAGCTTACAAACAGACAGGAGTTCTGCGTCACTGTGACGTGTAGTTACATTTCTTGGGAGGTACATGTCAGGCTATGACGTAGGTTACTGTGTCAATTCGATAGAGAAGTACATCTACTGATTATTTGGGTGTTTGGTGTATGTGGAACTGAGGCGAAGTAATCTACAGTGTGTGTGTTCATGGTCATGAAGGAACACCCTGTACAACAAATTAGCTAACTTATATTTTTATATTTGAAGCGGATTTGGCTGTTCAATATCAACATTTAACTATTTGTTCAATACAAGCGTGTGTGTGTATGCGTGCACGCGCGTGTGTGTGTGTTTGTGTGTGTGTGTGTGTGTGTACCTGCTGCAGGTCTGCCATGGAGTACAGGTGAATGTGCTGTAGCAGGTATTCCCTGGGGAAGATCCTGTGAAAACACACACAAAAAAAGTTGTAATGCATCATATTTACAAAAACAAAATAATCGTTGAATAATCATGATCGAGGTAAAATGTTCACTTAATTGTGATACTGAGTTGAGGTCATATCATGAAATGCCCTATCTTGCACCATCACAAAAACTACCGAACAATATTGGGGAGATGGCCTCTGTGTTCCTGTGTGCCACCATGAACATCAGCAAACTGCCTCATGCTTTTAAATTAGTTACTACACTATTTTTTTAAAATTTTTCATTATTTATTTATTTCAGTCCAGTTTTTTAAAAAACAATACTTTCAATCTTGGGAACATGTAAATAAGGAACAATGATCACACACTGTACTGAATACAGGCATTACACAGGTTTAATATTTAACCAACAGCCTTTCAGTTTACACTGCTAAACAAAATAATAGTATTAATCTAAGAGTCAGACGCACTGCATGTTCTAACGTTAAGAGACCAAACACAGACAGGAGAGTGTGTGTGTGTGTGTGTGTGAGGCCTCCTCTCAGACCACTAACACGGATGGCACCATGTTAAATCCTGTCTAAGCTGTGATGAGTGTCACCAAAACACAAGTGTGTGTGTGTGTGTGCGTGCGTTTGTATTCATGTGTGTGTGTGTGAGATCCAGCCACCTCTTGGTGATAGGCACCACTGATAAACTACTCTGTTTGGTATGTTACCAACGGTTACCACATCAGACACACACACTAGGGTCCAGCTATCAAACACACACTGGCTCCTGGTTGCCCAGATGAACACACCCTTAAAGTGTGTGTGATCTTGATAAAAGTACTTGAGAACTAACATATTTTAGGATTAGATTACAAACAGAAGATACACAGATTCGTTTATATGTACAAACACACACACATGCCAACAGATGACAATATTTGTTTAAGACCTGATAGTATTTAATTACTTATTTTATTTCCCTCTCCTCAGTGTGTTTCCAGTCCAGCAGACACACCTCTGATTACAACTCTGTTATCGCTCAGTGATTATGATCGTGTACTGAAGGAGGGACCTGAGTAAGTGTGTGTGAGTCAGCAGATGTAGGAAGTCCTACAAATGTGTGTGTGTGTGTGTGTGTGTGTGGGCAGGGGGTGGTTAAACTAAATCTGTTACAATCTAATGCAAACCAAAACCAAATCTTATCTTAATCAAACTTATAATGTTCAACTTGTGTTGACACAGTGTCACTGAGGTGTGATAGGCTACAACTTTTTGGATGCTGTTAGTTGTAGTGTAGTTAATGTTTAAATAACTCTTAAATACGCATTTACATTAATGAGGTGGGTCAGGAGGAAGTTTTTTGATTCGAAATTACATACTACAGGGGTTGCCCCCCAATAGTCGACCAGGCGATAGTCGACCAGAAAGGTCATTAGTCGGCAAGATTTCATTTGTCGCTTAAGTCGCCAGAAAAAAAAAAAAAAAACGTGGAACTCTATTAGGAGCTGCACCTTGTCAAAATAAATCAAAACCTATATGACTGGACCATGTGGGAATTTAATTTGAAAGGGCAGACACAGGAAGTGTCCACACTCAGCAGTCAGACAGGAGTCAGGTTAATTTCCAGGGCTGGTACCTGCAGTTATTCCACAGGCTAGTTAATAACATGTCGGGCAGGAAATCCAAAGTGTGGGATCATTTTGAGAAGGTGAAGGACGAACCCAAGGTGATATGTAAACTCATCTTCATTGGTCGACTACAAACATGACGTATCATCTGAAACATGGAAGTAGCTACATGCCCATTAGCCCACAGCGTCATTAACAGGCGGCTCGCTCAGTGTGTGACGTGCACTTGTAGATAAAATATAGGCCTATATTAATGAAGATTCATTAGTACGGTTTTGTATTTCTCTGTAATGTAGCACAGTGTTAACAGTGTTACTGATACTATTCTTTCTCACACCTTCAACTCAAACCATTGTGTTGCCCCGCCCAAAATATGTGATTTAATAATTTAATTAATATATCGAAAAGATGCAGGTGACTAGTCGACTAATGGCCCTAAATGATGACTATTGGTCGACTAGAAAAATTGTTAGTCAGGGGCAGCCCCACATACTACCTTTTACAACCTCAATTTCCGCTACTACCTCAACCACCTAGCACTCCTTCACAACTACTTAATAAACATAAGCAACCCTCTTCTACACCCCCAATCAATGTTATTTGATTAAGAAAAAATTGTGGGTTGAGGAGGTATGAACTTTTTCAGCTCCTGAATAGGGGTGTAAATCCATAGTTTCATCACAATACGATATCATATTGATTCACTGGACAACGATACGATATTTGTCGATATTACAAAGTCTGCCATGATACAGTTACAAGTCGATGCAATTCTGGGGCCTTCGACTGACTCAGAATTGCAAAAAAAAAACCACATTGAAAGCGCCTAAAAGAACGCAGCATCCTCATTTGGAGAAAAAAGGTGGTGGAGTATAGTTCAGGTGCCCTCCAGCAGCACTGCACCTATGTTTACCATGCATATTAAGCAAAGATTCCTCTGCAACATGCTATTAAAGATGAAATCCTCAAGTGGTGTCTGAGAAAATAGTTAAAACCACAGTGCTGTCTAACCTACAGCCTTCAGTGCCTCATGTGGTTGTGCCTGCGATTGTGTTTTCCATGGCTCTCTGCATGTATGCAACAGACATCTCTCTTCAGATCCCCCCCTGAAGTAGACTGATGACTAGGGGAAGGTTTTAGCGCCACGGCCCTCATCAATCCTGCAGTGTTTGGAAGTGGCGGGGCACTAGCCGGCACTAGCTAATGGGACAGAAGTAAACACAGAACGCCATGATGCTGCTTGTCTCTGTGTTGCAACAGGGTGAGACTAATATGGGCTTTTTTAAAAAGCTGATAAAACACCAGTAGTTTCAGTTTGACGCTGGTTGGCAAGCTGGATAAAAACATATAAATAATGGGATATTAAAAATCTTTATGAAGACTATTATAGTGATCAGATTTTACAGTTTAAGCATCTCGTGTTGATATTGACAATCAATATGTGTAATTCTGCAGCTGTACACTTTCCAAACTCATTGTCCATAAACAAAAAACATGTCAGAGGAAGTGCAATATGTTGAAACCAGCAATACGCTTTGACATTTTCTTTCCATCTACATCATACTATACACAGGCATATTTGCCTTGTGCTGCATACTGCACATTTTTAATGTACTTTTTAACATTACCTGCCCAGAGAAGTTACTTGAAATCTGTAGCTTTTCATATTCTGTATTTTGTTCCATATTTTGTCTCTAATGTATTCCTTTTTTGACATGTAACTTTAAGTGTATTAAAATAAACACCAAGCACAAATGCCAAAAAAAACAATATAATGCAATATAAAACCCTGACTGTATAGAAAGTGTGTTAGCAACTGGAGGCGGCTTTTTGTAATTGGTTTTAATGAGAATGAAGCTTTTTGCTGGCTGGTTTTGCGTTGCCATGCACCTCATATTTGCTACCGTTTTTGCTGGAGCACTTTGAACTCCTCAAGTTGAAAAAAACTTCAGCTAAGAGCGGAAAAGTGCCCCATGTCATTTACGCTTTTTCCCCATTGTCCAATCGGATGATTTGAGAGGCGGGCCTTCTGTGGTGGTCACGACAACAAGTTTACAGTTGGAGGAGAAACTGGTGGTAGCGGTCTCTGGATACACAGAGTTATACGGCCCAACAATAGACAGCAGGTTGTCAAACTGCTCCAGAATCATCCTAAAATATGCCTGGAGACAGCCATCATGGAGGAGAAGTTCCTGGACCAACTGGTGGTACTCCCCATGATCCACCCTCTTTTTTTGGGTCTCATGTACCCACACAGATCTCTGTTTCCCTGTGCCCAACAAACTATTTACTGACAGCCTCTCACCCTCAACCAGAGCTACAGCAAGTACCATCAAAGGAGGCTGGAGCACTCGATAAAATTGCAGAGCTTTTAATAAGGTGCAAACAGACTGAAGTTTCGACGCTACTGCGTCTTCTTCAGAGTCAGTATCGAGTGCTCCAGCCTCCTTTCATTTGGGTTCACTCATTTTTTGAAGCGGCCCACTTGATGTATTGTCACCTATATTTCATTATTTAGGCCACGATAACACAGAAAGCGTTTAGCAGGTTGCAAAACATGAAATGCACCACACTCAATTTTTCAATCGAATGCTGCTAGTAAAACAAACAAACAAACAAAAAAAACAATGCTTGCTGCATCTTTTTATTGTTGCCTGGCAACCACCCCATCACCCTAACCTTCCTGTGTAATCAATCTACTGTTTATTTATTTTATTTCGATGCTACAGTAGCATCGAAACGTCAGTCTGTCTGCACCTTATTAAAGCTCTGCAATTTTATCGAGTGCTCCAGCCTCCTTTCATTTGGGTTCAGTCATTTTTTGAAGTGGCCCACTTGATGTATTGTCTACTATTTTGTCCTGTGCTGTGAGCACCGATCCAGTTTTATTTTTGGCTGAAGCGCAAGAGTGCCTTTCAATGAAATATAGGTCTTAGAGCAAAACAGCCATCGCAGGCTTAAGCATTTTTTCATTTACCTACAAATGAAAGATGCATAATGCAGAATATACTAATGAATGCATTATATGATATTTTGGATTTCCAGTGACTTGCATTCACTATAATTACTAGTTGATTCAACTAAATTACAGCAACAATTCAATATCATTTGTTTTCTACAACAGTGTCCTTGTTACTCTGGATGAATCCAATGACCTCACTGTGACCTGACTTCTTACCAAAAAAAAACCCCCCTGAAAACTAAAATTATTTGCATGGCTGGATACAGTTTCTGTTAATCTGTGGATAAAAAAATGATACTTTTTAGGAGTTATCAGGGTAGACTGGAATTTGATTAATATTCTGTCTGCCGAGGTAAGAAGCTTCTCCTTTAGAAAAAGTCGGATCAGAGTGTATTAGTGACCTGGAGCGAGTCGAGGAGCATCCATCAGCTCACAGACAAGGCTTTCAGTGTGGGACCCCACTCAGATAAACACTCATCCCCCCCGACCATCACACACATGAACATATACACACACAGGCACACATCTTTTATGTATATGCAGCATATATACACACAGGAATGCATGCAGATAAAAGTTATAGCAGTGTACACGCAGGCACTCAGACACACACGTGTAAACACGGATCATACAGGGAGATGTTAACAGTCTGAGCGATCAATCGTTCAACAGAGATATACCAACACAACAGACTTCACCGCCAACCTACCTTCGTCTGAGGTCCTCGGCGACGGTTGCTCTGCAGCTGAACAGGTAGGCCCGCAGTGACTGGAGCTGCTGACGGAGGCGCAGCACGGTGCTGAGAGGCTCACAGTGCTCATACAAACAAGGGTTGAGCTGCTGGATGTCCAGCAGAGGCTCCTCGTACACAAACTCCAGGAACTCCTTGGCCTGTTTCGACACCTGGAGGGCACATCAGAGTTTACATCAGGATCACTGCATCAAGGACAACAGATTGGTGAGGGATAGTACCCAACGAGTTGTATGTTCCGTGACTGTAATGGATGATGTGGAGATGAAAATCCTTTTAAAAACCTCAGAGATGAAAAACAAGGTATTAATCAGTGAGCTTTAGAGGTGCTGGTAGGTTGACTTTCTTTACCTTTGTACAGAGCCAGACTTTATGCTAAGCTAAACTAATGTCCTCTGGTTGTAGCTTGATATTTTGGGGTGGTATCTGCAAGGTGCACATCTGCAGTGAGGCGGGCACTGTGCCAGACTGTCATGGTGAAGAGGGAGCTGAGCCGGAGGGCAAAGCTGTCAATTTACTTGTCCATCTATGTTCCAACCCTCACCTATGATCATGAGCTCTGGGTAATGACCGAAAGAATGAGGTCGTGGATACAAGCAGCCAAATGAGTTCCCTCGGAATGGCGGCTGGGCTCAGCCTTAGAGATAGGGTGAGGAGCTCGGAGTAGAGCCGCTGCTCCTTCACATCCAAAGGGGTCAGTTGAGGTGGTTCGGGCATCTGAACAGGATGCCTAATGGGCGCCTCCCGATAGTGTTCTGGGCATGTCCCGCTGGTAGGAGGCCCCGGTACTGTAAGCAGCACACATCGAAGAGGAAGCTACGCAGACTGCAAACCGCAAATATAGCAAGACGAAACACCACGTGGACAAAGCTCATTCCAAAACACAAGTGAATCTTGGGTTAGCTTTCACTTTGACTTTCGATGGCGAGCGTGTTTACAAACAGTAACCAATAATCCTGCATACTATATCTTTAACACTTTTATCTGAATAAAATAAGACTTTAAAAATCTGATCGTAATTGACTTGTATTTGTTAAAAAGGAAAGAAATTGAAGAACACGTGGGACTTGAATTTCCAGGACACCGCTCACTTACTGAAAAAGAGTGGCTCTTTATGTATTCATTCACTTTACATAACTGCTTATCCTGTTAGGAGTCGAGGTGGGCTGGAGCCTATCCCAGCTGACACTGGTCGCCAGACTATCACAGGGTTGACATAGAGACAGACAACCATTCACACTCACATTCACACCTACGGACAATAGAGTCACCAGTTAACCTGCATGTCTTTGGACTGTGGGAGGAAGCTGGAGTACCTGGAGTAAACCCACGCTGACACGGGGAGAACATGCAAAGTTTTCAAACACGTTTTTTTGTTTTGTCTTTTTTAAGAACAGAACAGTAAGTATGTTGAGACGGTGGGTATTTTCATATAGTTGTGTATGTGTGTGTGTGATATCCCACCTTGTGCTTGCTGGTGTCCCAGTTGTGCAGTAGACGTGCTGGGATGAGGAAGGAGTTGTCCTGATGGCAACTTGTGCAGTAGTACCAGCCGCTGTAGTAGCAGACCTTTGCTTTTCCTCTGGAGAGACCGACGGGACGCTGACAACCTGATGAGACAATCACTCAGTAAGTACGTGTGTGCTTATATCTTATTAATAAATACATATATGACACTAAAGGGTGTCTGAATGTCTCTGTTATCATGAAGAAACCAGTTAAAATTTCAAGACAGTATCGAACATGGGGATCAAACCAACACGACAATCTTTTTTTAAATAATTTTTTTATTGGCTTAATTAGATAAAGACAGACAGGAAGGGTGGGTCACAGGTCAGCATCAAACCAGGGCCTCTGCTGAAGACTGAGTCTTAAGTACATGGGGCACCCTCAACTAGGGCTGCCACTAACAATTATTTTCATTCAAACCCCAAAATAATGTCATCTAATGTCTTGTTTCCTACTCATGCCGAAGGGTTTTAGTTCACTGTCATGGGAGAGTGTGTAAAGCTGCCAATATTTCAACGTAAGAAGCTGCAATAAGAGTATTTTGGGGTACTTTTATAGTACTTTTCTATGAAAAATGACTCAAACCGATTAGTCAACTACTAAAATAGTCACCGATTATTTTAATAGTCGATTAGTCATCGATTAGTCGACTAATCGTGGCAGCCCTACCCTCAACACAAAAATCTTAATGTAAAACAAATCGGTTTTATCTCTGACTTATTGGACACCAAATAATGGCTCCAGTAAAAACCTGCTCCATGTGTTCATTCAAGGTGTTGCACAAGTCAACCGTTAACAGTCTGCTGGAGCTGAGATCAGGAGAACACAAAGCTTGTAGTGTTAATGACTTGGTGTTAATATGTGTCAGTTTATTGCCCCTCACTAAATACCGCACTAATCTAACCGAGTAAATCTGTAGATAATAAACAATACCATCCAGGTTTAAGAAGGAACTCTGACCCCAATTAGGTATTCTGTTGTACCATACAAACAGTGATAACAGATCTTAATGCACCAATTAGAAAACTGTACAGAAATCCGTAAATGGAGGTGTTTATTCTGAGCAAGGGTTCAATTTTCAACCTGTTCTCAAGATTTTTCAAGTCAAATCTCTGTGCACAGCAAAGTGCAACATTTTAAATGTCTTCAAGTAGAGACTGTCTGAAAGTGTATCTTCTGTAGTTTTGAGCAGTATGTCACAAAGTTTGTGCAATCATGTTTTTATAATCTTAGAAATATTTCAAAAACACAATCCATTTTAACTTTTAAAGACACTGAGACATTTTACACGCCTTCATTTCTTCACACCTGGATCACTGCGACAGCCTCTATTCTGGCCTGAATCAAAGATCTTTTAATCAACTTCAGACTGTACAGAATTCAGCTGCCAGAGACGTGATCACATCACTTCGGTTTTAGCCTCTTTACACTGGGTCCCAGTTTGTTTTAGAATAGATTTTACTGATGACTTTTAAGGCTCTTTATGGTCTCTCCCAGCTATATCTCCAACCTCTTAGTACCGTACACGCCAGGACATACTTTGACGTGTTTTGTCTGTTCCAGAGGCCCGGCAGAAAACTAAAGGGGACAGAGCATTTGCTGTCAGGGCCCGAAGGCTCTGGACCAGTCTGCCCGAGAAAATAAGGTCGGCCAAGTCAGTGATCTCTTTTAGGTCGCTTCTTAAAACATACTTTAACGGAGAGCCTTTCCTGATTTTACTTGACTTTTAAGTTCATTTAAACTGTCTTTTATTTCCTCAGTTTTTATACACCAAAGTGGTTTTATCAGTTCTTTTTGAAGTTGTTGTTTTCATGTCTTGTCTGTTTTAATTACTGACACCTAGTGCACTTTGTAACTAAATAAATGAAGATAAAGATCCTGCCTCTCCTTAAGACTGCTGGCTTTTCTGCCCACCTTCATGGCATTTAGCAACAGCTATAAACACTTTGTCACCAAATTTAGTCACCAAAGATTAAATCTATACTTAAACCTGACGTCGTTTTGTGGTGTAAATCTATCTTTAAATGTGGTGTTCTTAAGAGGTCCATAAATGACAATGTGTGTGACTACTGATGATGAGCAGTCTCATCATGAGGTGCTACTTGCTGAAGTAGGAAATACCAATGACTAACTTATTTCTGAGGGAGACTCCACCTAATTTTTGTGTGTCCACTCCCACCATCTCACTCCTGATTCAAACGTACGTCCTTCAGTATGTCCAAAACCTTCTTGTTGAGCGTATCTTCCTTGTTTGCCAAAAAATCTATCTGCCAAATTCCCTCGAAGTAATCCCTCAGAAAACAGATTCTTGGTTCTTCCAGTAGTCACAACACAGCGGGCTTCAGTACAAAAGTGTTTTGCAGACCTAAAGTACAACAGATCCTCAGCTCTATTCAGCCTGATAGCTGCCCCCCTCTCTGCTTTGTCTTCTCCACTCTTTAAAGTTCATTCTTCACCCAAACACCCGGACCTGGTCTCTGATCACACACAAACAGCTGAGCGCCACAGGCCTGCGACAGGTGTCTCTTATCCAACACAATCTCGGAAGACACGAGGCCTGGAGGAAAACAGCGAGTGAGGAGAGGTAGAGAAGAAAAGAAGCAGAAGATTGTTATCTGGGTTTTGGAAAACAGACGCACGGAAAGCCAGAGAAGAGACGTAGGGCAGAGGAAGAGAGACGTGTGTCAGCCTGTTTGTCAGTGGTGCTTCAACAGAAGAAACAACACAGGCTGACAAAGGGGAAACAGAATGAGTAAAAGGCTATCGAGAGATGAGAGGAACGAAGGAAGTGAATGAAAGAGAAGAAGAGCGAGATCAAACAAGGACAGATGAAGGCAGACAATAATGAGAAGTTAGGTCAACTACTTCTCTATCATGGACGAGAATCTGATGTCTGAAAAAGACAGACAATAGTCTAATCAGTACTGAGAGCTGCACTGCTGCTTTATCCACTTGAAAGAAAAAAGACTCATGTTGGAGCATCAGGCAGCACCACACACACTGAATGATGCACTGAACTAGAGTTGTAACTACCTGTTTATGGGTTATTGATAAATACTTTGGTGATAATGAAAAATGGTGACATGTTAAATCATTTTGATATGTACAAGTGGTCCAAAACATGACTGTCATTCAAAGTTCATTAAAATTTAGGTTTTATTTTTGTAGTTTGGGCATCAATTATGATGCTCATATGTCAGTTGAGCTCATTACAAATATATCATGGTAAATGGTAGATGGACCTGCACTTGTATAGCGCCTCACTCAAAGCGCTTTTTACACTACGAGTGACATTCACCCATTCATACACACATTCATACACTGGTGGCCGTGGCTAAGGTGCCACCTGCTACTCAGTTTTAACACACTCACACACAGATTAAACAGCCATTGGGAGCAATTTGGGAGCAATTTGGGGTTCAGTATCTTGCTCAAGGATACTTCGACATGCAGACTGGAGGAGATGGGGATCGAATCGCTGATCTTCAGATTAGTGGACAACACGCTCTACCTCTGAGCCGCAGCCAAATAAATAAATTTGACAAATAAACTTGTGTCTCAATTAGAGGCCTGGTCAGGTTGCCAAGCAGTTGATATATA